GCACACCGATCCGGGAATACCTCGAAACTTCTCCAAAAATTTCAGAAAAGAAGGTAGCTCAGCGGACACATCTTCTTCTACCCGAATCAGCACTACATTGTTCGCCATGAACTCCTCTGCGTATTTGCGCCCCTTCCTCAGTTCACGCAAAATATGGCATATTGCAAAAAGGATTGTTTTGCACACCTTGAATGGAGGATTGAGAGCCAAACTTATTAATCTCTCAAGTTGACCGGGGATCAACCTTATACACTCAAAAAGTTTGTTAGGCAAAACGGGTTGGAATCTGTTGTCTGTCTCTCAAATATTTCATGTTCAGCGCGTGCTCCGCGGCCTCCTCACTCTTTCCAGGAAGCTTTGACCGCAGGATCTCGATGTCTGCAGCAAGCATTGCCTTGACTTGGGCCAAGTTGGCCGCCGAAACTTGCTTCGCGTACATCTTGGCTGCTTGCTCACGGTCATCAACCTTGCCCTGCTCTATCTTTTCGACGTGTGCCCTGGACAGGGCCGGGTTAGACCTCACCTATAGAACACCCCAACCAACCAAAAAAAGAAACATCGGTGTTGGTTCCAAAAACAGAGCCTCCAAATTTGTCACCCCTCTGATTCATCATACCTACACACACGTCCGAATCACTTTCCACCCGGTCACCTCACCATAAAGGGGACGCTGCTACAAACCAAGTCTGTTAACCCAATAACCAGAATCTAGAACCATGCATCGTCCAAGCCTGAACCCTGCAACAGCTTTGATGTCTGAGTTGGCTGGGACTTGGGTCTCGACAATGTGCAGAAGGTCTGCGTCAAGTAGGCCAGCCACAAATTGGCTGCTCACCTCCTTCTGGACGTCGGCAAACTGACTCTCAGGGCACATGGCCTGCATCTTGGTCTGGAACCACAAAAAGGCCCTGCACACCTGGTGCAGCTTGATCGCATCCTTGAGCCCTGTTGACTTCCGGAGGGGTGCTGGTGTGTTGTCGTGGTCCAGTACCAGCCTGCTCAGGTACAGCTTCACCTGAAAAGTCGACCGCAATTGAACTCTGCGGCCAAAAAAACTCTGTGGCCAAATTAAAGGTTTGAAGCTCGTTGAAAATTGCGTTGCTTTGAATCAAGTTGCCAAAGAAAAGTCTTTAGCCCGGTTCGTGAACGGCTCTGCCCAGCTCTCAGCTGTTCCGAACCCGCTGGTCCAACCTGTAGAAAAGGTACCTTTGCCGATCACATCGTGATGAAGAAACTTGGATAAACCCCGTTTGGTAACCAATTTCTCCAGCTCGGCGCCGATGTTCTCCGGAATAGACTTGGAAAGCTCAAACAATGCATCGCTCTCTGCCCTGCCAATACTAAACGCCTTGGCCATGCCGGCTGCATTCTTCCAATCCTGCAGCTTGGTTCAAGTGGGCAGCTGGTCAAAATGTCCGTGAGCGATGCTTGCAATAAACTAGAAACGGCAAAGAACCCTAACGGTGTCCTTCATTTGGGCATCTGCACTGCCCATACCAGACCGCTGGAGGACTTTCACTTGTCTCCAGAGGTTGAAGCAGTGAGGAGGCCTCCTCACTGCATTCGAGGACATCTGCGCGCCTGCAGGCTCAAGCTGCTTATAGAGACTGTCACTGTGTGGACTCTTAGTCTTGTGCGTCGGTAGAACTGTGAATTTGACACCTGCCAACAAGACCTCACCTCGGTTTGCCAAGACCTTGGACCGAACGTCTTCAAATTGGCCGAAAGGTGATGTGGAGTGTTCCCATGGTAGCCTGGGCAGGACCCCACGATAGGACAGAATAATAACACAGTGAAACAAAATCTCCTGAGTCTAGCAACTCTGATGTATTGCGGCACGCAATCTCCAATGTCCAAGTGCTTGATCCCAGCAAGGGTACACAAAAGCATCAAGCAGCGCTTGTATCCCTTGACATAACCGACCGAAAAGGGTCTGATCAAGTGACCTTGGAGCCAAGGTCGAATCCAAAGCCAGCACCAAGAAGTCTACAAGAAAGCCACTTTAGATTCAAGGCAAAAGACCATAAGGTTCCAATGCTTTGCACTCGGAGTATGGTCTCTCTAGGTATGCCTCTGGTACAGGAGTGGCTGCGATCTTGCTGACTCCCACAGTGTTGGCATCAGTCAAAAAACCTTGGGTAGCAACAGTTACGAACACTGCGCTAGCCTAGGAAAACCTTCAGTCCAGCAACCCCTCTGTGCAGATAAGCTCAATCAAGTTGATCGCGACATCGGGCTCTACCATGGCGCTCAATGAAAAATCTGAGCGCCAGCTACACTGCCATGGCCTGATCACGCCAGGCGCCTTCATGTCGATGCAATAGGAAAGCCTGCCAGCAACCCATGAGGCAACACAAAAACACCCGTGCGAAAGAGATAGCCTGGAAAGTCCTTTGTTGGATGGACTCACGTTGAAATTGATTTGGGAGAGTAAGTGCCAGGCGATGTGTTGGCAGGGCAGAAACTATCGATCCAGCCAGCGAACTTCAACATGTCTTCCTCCAAAGATTGTAAGAGTGCAATGGTTCAAAGAAAGTAACAAAGTTGTACTTGCAATAATTTCAACAACATGCTACCAATCAGGTGGCCTCCGTGCTGTATCGGTTGCTCAGGTATGCATCTGGCCCACCCTCGCTCAAAACCTCGCCTTCATACCTGAAAGTTCGCAAGTGGTTGCATGAAAACGCTGCGGCGAACTTTGAAAAACACAATGCCTTTCGACTCAGCGTCAGCGTTGATAGACCCAGCAAGTCTAAGCCCTGTTTCGGAGGGGGAAGTGGAGCCTTGCTGGGGCTAGCCATGCTGAGTTGCACGCTCGAACTCTTGACACTGACTATTGGCATGTTCCAAAATTGAAATCCAAGTGCCATGCTGTCAGCTTGCGAATCCAAAGATCCGAGTCGACCTTGTCGGCATCAGAGCCAGGACAGTCTGCCGATGGCTTCAAAGCCTTTGGCTTGCTGTCTGCGCCCCCCGACTTCCTTTTTTTGGGCGGCATGACTGTATTGCGTCTCTGCGTTTGAAAGGAAAACTTGCAACAAGCACAACTCCAAACCCAACACCCACAAATTCAACAGTCACATCCAACACACGACTTGTGAATCCGACACTCGCAAAACCGACAGTTGCAAATCCGACACTCGCAAATCCGACACTTGCGAATCCGACACTCCTTGAATTCCAAACTGCATTATCCTAAGTAGGGAGTTTGCAAAAGGATGCTCTTTTGAAAGGGCTTCTGAGTCACCAATCTCAGGTGAGATCCGTGGATTGAAAATCCGACACTTCCAAATCCGACACTCAGTCCCTTCAAAGCCAGGCACTTTACAACATATTGTTATATTGATTCTTTCAGCTTTATATTTGACAACAAAGCTGCCTGGAAGGGAAAACCGAAATGCTGATGAAATCGGTGGATCCGCGCCAACCCTGTGGACCAGCTCTGGGGTGACCAATCCTAGGTGGGATCGGTCACCCAGACCTTCCTCGCCTAATGTTTCCATAACCTTACAATTTTTCAATCCTTTGAGGAAACCACACAGAAACATTGGGGTGACCAATCTCAGGTCAGATCCGTCGCGCTAAGTGGGCTCCAGGAAGTTCCAGCCATGTGACTGATTACTGCAGGGCCCCCAAACCTCACATCAACCTGGCAATGGGGCCTTAAAGTGAATTGCCGCTCTCAAATTTCTAAACTGCCACAACGTTTAGGGTTTAGGGCTCCGCAACTTTAACTTGATGGGATGGTTGAAAGATCAACAAAAGGATCTGCTGTGGGATTTGGGAAAAAGAGTTGACAGCTCAACCGTGAACTGTTTAGGCTTCCGACAAAAAAACCGCTGCACCTGAACTTCGCAACAGTATGCAATTGTATGTTGCTGGAAGCTGGACACCCTGAAACATGCAGGCATCAGGCTTAGCCTCTGCCTTTCCCCTTGGCTTTGCCTTTTGGCATGGCCCGAGACTTGGCTTTCCCTTTCCCGCGCCCCTTTTTGGAGCTTGGGTAAGCCTTGTCTATTGCATCGCGGGCCATCGTAATGGCCTCTGCCCATGGAACTCCTTCAACCCACAGTTTCGCAGCAGCTTGGATCTTGCACTGCTGCCGGTACTGCTCAGACAGTTTTCGGTGTTGACTAGGCAGCTGCAGCCTTGAAGCGAGAACCCTAACAAACATGAATGAAACAAAGTGTTGCCAGGCTAACAACGAGGTGGGTTCTGAGGTTGGTTGAATCAAATCTCTGCCAAGAAGCGCCAGCAGGTTTGGCATCACGTCGAAGGATGCTGTCCTCTCTTCAGCCCATTATGAGCAAGACCCCGGCAGAACAGGCCTGGTGAAATTTAGCAGTCCTGGAAAATAAATCTGATGGAACCCGCCACTCGTCAAAGCTCCGTCGAAGTCTTGTCCTTGGTTTGTCGAAGTCTTGTCGAAGTTTGCCGTTACCCTTTAAGAAACAGCGATCGGCACACTCACAACTTGGCCGAGCAATGCTGGCAAAGCGCTCACTCAAGTCTAATAAAGGCAATCTGGTCCAAGTTCCGTCGACCCAACTTTCCAAATAGTCAGCAGCTCGCCCCAACCCAAAATCTTTTTGCCGCAAAATCGGCAAAAATTTCATCAAGTTATCTTGGGTCGCTGCAGCAATCTCATTCACCGGGGCCACAACTGGCAAGGGCGCAAGTCAAAAGAATTCAAAAGGCAGAACGCCAAACCTCACCCGAAGCCGCCTGAAGGCAATCCCACCGGCAAGTGCTGCAGGGCCCACAGCCGGGGCAGGAAAAGGAAATTGTGGGTAAACGTGGCCTCGTGCATCCACTGGCATGTCCTGGCAAAGAACAATGAACAATGAACAAAAACTTCAACCAACAACTCAATGAACAATGGACTGAATGCGCCCTGGGAATGAAACCTCAATCGAACATATCAGGCCTTAGGATGACATCGTGCGGATGCTTGTCACTTATTTTCCAGAATTCCGATTGCTCTTCTTCAGCTAGACCTATCAGGCACACAATGGCCGGACCAATGCAAGTCTAAGTTCAAACATGGTTGCTTCACGCTGCAGAAGCAGGCCTGCGTCAACCCTTCTGCAAAAGTGCATGACGTGTGGGGCGCCGGGGCCCCCAATCCCCTTGAGGGACACTGGCATAGCCTCCGAAAGCCATCCACGCCTACCAAAGAATAAATGAAAAGTCCACGGGAGTCCATAAACAGAAACCTATATATAACTTGTAAGTTTTGACTTCCTCGCATCAGCACTGAACAAAGACCCCAAGAATTCCCCTGTACCGGCTAAGGGGAATCGGGTCCGTTTGAAGGAAATAGCTCGAGCCAACAAACCCTTATTGGCATGTTTTCGGGGTGCCTCTTTTTAATTCAATACACCTTTTATGAAAAAGGGGTACCCCCAAACATGCCTGCTAGGGTCTGTTGGTACTTCTGAATATTGAATTGGTCAATGTCAAGGCACCAATCTCTTATACTATCCAGTTTGACAACGAAGCGCTGGGGCTCAAATGGTCGGTCGAGCTGGCGGGTGAACTCTTCCAGTGCGTGGACAAAGTCTGAAGACGTCAGAGCAGTACGAACCTTCAACTTGATAAAGGATGCCACTCTTCCAAAAAGCTGATCGATGTCTTCATGGGAGTGACCGGTTCTGAGGAAACTTAGTCTCCCAGAACCGATCACTCCATCGCTCACCAAGCTGGCGACGTACCTCATGAGTATTCCGTTCTTGACTTCCCTGCAAGTGTTGTCGGCCTGCAGAGTAACCCTGCAGGCCGACAGGTCGACACCTGCCACAGCAAGTCGCTGGAGAGAGTCTGCTAGAATCTCGCAGCTTGTATTTGAATCCTTGGGAATGTTGGGTTCCGAGATGTAGAATGCGACATGTCGCCCGTGGGCGATCACTCCAACGAGGTGAAGTTTCGGTCGCATGAAGCCCTCGAATGTTTTCGCCCGCATCAAGCTAGTTCTTGGAACAATGAATTTGCTTTGATCAATGCCGTCTTGTATACATACAACATCCAAGCCTCGTGCCCTTGCCAATCCCCTCATCCTCCAGTAACAGGATCGGTCCCGAAATTGGGCTTGAAGGTGCGTGTACAGCAGGTCCTGCTGAACCTTTCTGGCGTTCAAGTGATCGGCCAGCGAAGAAATTAGCGCCTTGTGCTTGACGCATTCGCTGCACTGGGCGTGAGAGCTGGTGCTCCTGAATCTCATGAAAGAGTAGTGCGATGACCATACCTGGGGTCACGCAGGCAAAGTGCAACAACTTAACTTAGCAGACTTATTATTTATTATATAGCACTCACTAAGAGCGCACACACCCCACTCAAGCCGGAAAGCTGCCGCGCTTCTTGCAAACTAAAATACTCTCCAGAACGTTGGAAATGATGCTTTATGTTCAGCCTGGGATTGCCGCTTGTATTGGATCCAGTACTCTTTCATAGTGCCGGGTGGAAGGAACCGCTCCTCCATCCCGTCTGCAACACTTCGTCCAACAGCGATCTTCACGCCACGCTGATGCTGCTTTGCCCTGAGTTGCTTCTGGTCTGAAGCTTCGGAGTGAATGTTCAAGTTCAAGGCGTAGGGGTCACAATCGTCTTCCAAGAAGTCGTCGCGGACGTCGGGTATATTCTCCGCCACTGAACTGTAAATGGATTCCAAAAAGGAAACCACTTCTGACACACAGTCACTCACGCTATCAGATCCAAAGGAAGCTCTCTTCAAGTATCTGAGATCCACTGGTGGTTTTGGATCTCCCCGCTGCACACCATCAACCAATTTCTGAAAGCGTCGGGTGCCTTACCATGGAAGCAAATTGAAAGCACGCATGAGAAACGCATCACATTCAGGACATCCCTCACACCCACACTGACATAAACCCTTTTTAAGCTAGGACAAAGAAGCCCAGGGCATGCAACGCTTTCCAGCATCTAACACAAACAGGCCGTCCCATGAATGTCCACATGGTTCGTTGGCGTCCATCTCGCGCAGATTCTTCATATATATGTTTGATTCGCTGAAATGCCTTGGCCACGCCGCGTGTTAAGGATGCCAGGGGACCAGGGGTTCGAACAAATGAAGAGAGAACATATATGAGAAAATTTAAGAATGAACCATCATGTAGGCTGCTACTTCACCCTGGTCCGTCTTGTGTAGTTCGCGCCACTGCGTCCTAAACCGGAGCAACTCCCCGCGCGCAGTGTTTCCTCGGAACAGTTCCTTGCAATTCCTCTTGCAACTGGAGGATTTGCAAAGCATTTTCTCCACAGAAACGACATCCTCAGCGGGTCTTCTGGCTTTGGGTGCTCCACCCTTTCGTTTCACGCGCGGAGCAGGCACCTGTGGCAAGTCATCAGAAGAACTTGCTGTCACGTCTTCGACAGGAGCGATCTGAGGCTCATCATCCATGCGCCCACAACGGTTGTTATCATATGTTGCAATTGGTTCATGGCAAGCTGCATTCCCCAACACAGTGTTTAGAGGTGTACATTTGGGCTTCCACCATCAAGTTCCTATCACCCCTTGGGTCCCTCCATACCCAGTGCAAGACTTATCAAAGACATCTCATGTGTTTCCCACACATGTCTTTCCCATACTTATCTACCTGGAGGACAAGAAGGATAGAGATTCATAGTGCACACTGCTAAAGTGATCAAAGCAAAGCATTTCCCAACAAGGCAGTCACAAACACATGTCAAATTAAAGCTCGCTTTCTCATTGCGCGCGCAGCGAATTCGTGATTGGAATGAAAGTCGATGTTGCTATCCAACACAGGCCTCACTTCCCAACCCACACACAAATTTGTGCCAGCAACCCCTAAATGATTACGGTAATTAATTATGCGTGAAAATCACTGCAGGGATGGACCAGGGCTTCATGTATGCAAACAATTTAGCACTGCAAACTATGTTTGCTTCAGTTGCTACAAGTGGCACCTACAAGCAGTCTGCACCGAACGGCCACCTACAAACTAACATATACCTGGTCTTGCCCCTGCCTCACCACACAATGCAAAATGGCGCTTGCCAAATCGGCGCAAGCAGGCACAACAACATTGCCGAGGATTTTCAATCTCTCGTTGTCCTGATCTGTTGGCTTCTCCACGGTGAGCCATTGGTGCAATGGCAGCGAGTTCCGTGGGTTGAAAGGTTCCTGAAAAAAAGTATTGATGGGGCGAAACTCCAGCTCCTGCCCACAAGGCACAACTGGCGCCAGCATGTTTCACATGTTTCACATGTTTCACTCGAACCAATGGGTTTGACCAGCGACATGAAAACACATCTCCGAGAAAAGGTCCTGGAAGAGCCTGCAGCCTTTGACCACAGCAAAGAAGAAGGTCCTCCTCCGTTGCGCCTGTCAAAATAGCTTGCACAGCGGCGCTACCACTTTGACCACCAGCAACTTGCTGTCAGGAAGATTGCAGCCTAGCGACTGGCAATCCGACGTTCTCCAAGGCCACACTGGTCCAACTCAAAGTGAGACCACGGGAACAACAAGCCTGCCAGCGCTAACATTACATGCAAAAAGAATGAGAAACAGCCCATCGCGGCCTTGATCAGGAAGTACATGAGGTCCTTCATGTCGTTCTGCTTGGACAGAATGCTCTTCACGTTCTCCAAATAGATAAACTTCCTGGACATGATTGATAAAATTTTGCTCAACACCATGCCCCCGGTGCCACTGCCTCTGGCGTGGCGGCAACTCAGCAAAAATCTTGAACACCGCCCGGAGCAAACCACTGCGAGGGTCATTGAGACCCATCTGCGAACCTCCACATGATATCCCCTGGCAAAAACAAAAATGCATTGAGCGCTCTCAACCAAAATCTTTGAATGTTGAAATGAACATGCACAACTCTAAAATGCGATAGCTCACCTGGCAGGGGAAGCCGCCACCTACTCCACATGCTTCCGTGTCTTCTGACACCTGAAAAGTGGTTACATCAGAGTGTACTCGGCCGCGGTGCAACAGACCCTCTTGCATCCTCTTGCGCAACACCAATTGCGCAAACTCATTGATCTCCACCTTGCGACATGCCGAAATTGGATTAAATAAGTCAACGGACAACCGGCGCTGAGAAATCAAATCTTAAGTCACCCACATACTCTGTTGCCCATATAAACCTCAGACTTGCCAGGCCCAGCTCACGTCAAGCTGATGCCCTTAAGTACGTGTACAATAAGCATAGATGTCCATTATTTTTCTTTCGTGGCGCTACTCGATGCTCGCCCTCAGTGAAACCTGCGCTGCCTCTCGTCAACTGGTCTGGAAAAGGGTCCCTGCGTCAGCGTCCTGAATTGCTCTGTCTCGCAGCAATAGGTCGGTGGGAAACCAAGCAGGACCGCTTGTGACATGATTGAATTCTGTCCTCTCAGCGGCCATCATTGGAGGTGCACTAGGCGAGCTGAAGTCCTTGGTTTTCGATTGAAAATCTACAAGCTGCAAAGTTGGTTGGCTTGGCGGTGTCAAAGCCTACGCTGAACACTGACAAATAAGTTCTAAACAGTCTGAAACTCTAGCCATTCTCGACATTGCCAGCACCAGAACCACCTCAAAAAAAACTAACATGAAATCGGGGCACTGCCTTCAAACGGGTTAGCTTGTCACTTGATTGAGGCGGCAGCTCCTTTCCGTGCCACTTCGTGGTAACGCTGGCGCCCACTTGAATCCTGAGGGGGGGCCAGCTTGGACTGCAAATATCGTAACCCAGTTTGGATTACAAAATGCATGCAAGGCTCCGCACTTGGTTTATGCCGATGGTTTTCACCACCCCCAAAGATCTGCGGACATCTGGTTCCATTTCGCTGGGCACTGATTGCTCACTGTCACAACGGCGGCGCTTGGTCGAGACATCCATCAAGCAAGAACACTGAAACAATTCAAAGTAGTATAATGATAATATTTTATAAATTAATGCAAACTTCCGAACACAAAACGCTGTAGGTTGTCAAGTTATGAGGTAGCTGGTAGCTGACAGCCGAAACTCGCACCACACACCAATCCAAACCCCTCAAGGCACTCATTCAAGGCTATATCACCCGCGGCAAGAACGCTACAAAACTCTTGAGCTGCGGGCCGGGAGAGTCCCAGCTCCAATGCGCCACATCCGCTGAACAACGAAATGCAAGGCGCCTTCCCCGCCTGCAACAGGCTCCGTTGCCACAAACACTTCCTTGAAGGAACGAAACAATGACAAACTGCCCACAAGGCCTTGGACAGGGCATGTGGAAACATCTGCTCAAATGTTTTCTTGCAAACCTTGCTCTCCAATGAAGTCCAGTTGGTTGGCAAACCAGAAAACCATTCCGCTGCCGGCAATGCCAAGTACTGGCCCAAAGACACCTTTGCTGCCCTGCAAGCGTTCTGGTAGGTCACTGAATGGCGGATTTGGTTTGCCAAATCCTCAAAGAGTCGCAGAAACATGTAATTGAACAGTGGGCACGCCGTCATTATAACCAAAAGCTAAGAGCTAGGCACAGATTCCCCGGTTGCTGGGGTTGGCTGAACTTCTGACAGTTGCTGAGAAGCAACCTTGGGGTACGGTACCCAACCCTGATCCTGACAATATAAAGAGCTGTAAACTCTTGCGAAAAAACACCAAATCACCAGGAATGAAGCCATTTACAACCAGAAAAGGGAACGCGATAGATGAGTCCCCCGCGAATCGAGCTCCAGCTTGAAAAGCTTCTTTGGCCAGTGAACATCCCAGACTTCAACGGTGCGCGGCGTTTCCCACTCACCCCTTTGGCGGGCTTGTGAACCTCACTCAACGCTGTATGAAACCAGCTGAACCCTGCATCCAGACACGCAATACACTGGAAGGTCTACCTGAAACATCACAAGGTTCCATCGGCTGGGGGAATGACCACCTTGAGATTCAGCTTCTTTGCTTTGGCAAGGCGTGTGCAATATGGCTGCAACCGCACACAACTCTTCGAAAACTTCAAGACAGTTGCACAACTAGGGAGAGCCAAATCTTTACAACGGCTCCAGTTCACAACCTTCATGCACTTGAGCCATTTGCCGGCAGGGTATCTTCTCGAAGGTTCCTGCACGTGGCTGCGCAAAAACCTCCAGTTTAAGATGTAATTGACAAGTTCCCTCAAACTCCAAAACAAAAGGGGTGCCTCGACCAAAGGTGGGGCCGGTGCCAGTGACCTCCAGTGGCCCAGAATTTTTTTGAGTTCGTTGAGAAGGCTGAGAAAAAGAAAACCACCAAGGCCGCGGCTCCATCTCACTTTCGGACACTTGATCCACGGAATCACAAACAGGCATGATTTGCGAAGCGCTGAATCCAAAACTCTTGCAATGTGCACCGTGAATCTCAAATGGCTTTGCAAACATGATCATGAACATCAAATCTTCTCAACAGCGCTGGCACTAGACACACTGCGCAAAACATAGACTAGCGTCCGTCGGTCAACGGCGGTCGAGAATGGGAA